AATAATTTCTAAATGAGTCTTCTTTATCGTTTAAACAACACTAGTGTCTCTGTCTCGTTCACTCTCAAAGACAGTCTCTTTCCCCAAGAGCGGATTCACCATCTCGATCTCCTATTCTTCCTTCTTTTCCTGAAGATTTTTTCTGGAGGTCAAATCTCAATCCTTTGTTCCTTACTTTTGTTGTTTTTGTAAGAAAAATTCCAAATTTATTTATGCTCATGCTTGTGCATCTGCGTACCTGCATTTCCCCTGGTGTTTCTGTCGATAGGGTTTTGGTGGGTTCTTTGAAATTTCCGTAAATATTGCAGCTTTAAATCATGGGTCTGCAATGGTTTCTCAGGATCTGTTCGTATTCTCGAGAAAATGTAGCTGCTTTTGAAGAGAAAATTTTGATGCATAGATGAATATTTACAAGACCCAACAAAGAAAGAAAGAAAGAGTAGTTAGATTCTCGAATATTGGTTTTTCCCTAATATTTTTTCTTCAGATTTTTGGGAAATATTTTCTACAGATTTGCTATAAACTTGGGGGCGTTTTTTTTTTATTCATTACTGTTTTCATCGTTTGATAAGGAAAATCAAATAATTTTTGATTCTACCATTGAATCTTACGGAGTTTGAAGCTTTGTGTACTTGATTGAATGTATCTTCTTTTGATACTCTTGGTTCAATGGACCAATTTTCCTGGAAAGTTTCCTAAGAAAAGCCTCCATAAGAATCAATGTCTGGTCTTTAGTCAATTTTGGCAATTTTCCTCTGAAGATCTTTATATGCATTGTTACAGATGAACAATCTCTCCTGGGACAGTTGTCTTTTCTATTGCCTAAAGTGTTGATCTTTGTGTTCTATTGACTTTGATTTTACAGATCAGAGGATAGATGATGCAGTCCTAATAATACTCAAGACTTCAAGGCTGTGTCTTCTGGTGGGATTTCAAACATGGGGAAAGAAAATGCCATGTCTCGTCCTGTCACTCGTGCCTTTGCGTCTGCTTTGCGTGCTTTAGAAGTGACTTCTACTACACAGAATCAACAGAGACCAAACACAAAAAGACCAGCCTTGGAGGATGAGAACGCCACTGCACCAAAGAAGATGAAGCGAGAGGTTTTAGGGGATATCTCAAATGTTAGCTTCAATGCAGCTAAACTTGAGGTTGTTAAACTGCATCATGTTCTTTTTATTAGAGATTTTGGGTTCTCGTGAAGTAAAACATGCATCTTATGAACATCGGTTGCCATTTCAGGCCAAAAACGTCAAGCAGGTAAAGAAGGGACTAGGAAAGGGATTGGCGAGTACATCTTCTGTTACTTCAGGAGTCACAGATCTTCAGTCTGGGATTGATGCAAAAGTAGTTGTTGTACCAATTGAAGCAGGAAACCTGTCTCTTTGTAAAGGCATAAATGACACAGCTGATAACTGTATTGAGAACTGGAATTTCAGATTGCCTCCAAGACCTCTTGGGAGATTAGCTTCTACAGGTGATCCAATAAACACAAGTTTCAGGTGATTTGGTTCCTATAGTATAAAGGAGCGATCTTTAATGATTATGTTTTTTTTTTCTCCCTGCAAATGGTTACAGTTGAGGAAACTGCTGTTATTGGTTGTTCAACTGTACCGGATATCCCAAAATTTGTAGACATTGATTCAGATGACAAGGATCCTTTATTGTGCTGCCTCTATGCCCCTGACATCTACTACAATATTCGTGTTTCAGAGGTAATTTCTAGGCTTTATAGTCTCTACAGAAACTTGGTAAGCCCAAGAGGTGAAAGTTTGATTCCTTGTGCTTCTGTGTCACTTCTCTTCTAGCAGCTTAAACGCAGACCATTTCCTGACTTCATGGAGAGAATACAGAAGGATGTTACTCAGTCCATGCGGGGGATTCTGGTTGATTGGCTTGTGGAGGTTAGTGTTGAGTTCCACTTTTTTATGCTAACATTTGCAGCTTCTATATATGCCTGTCTCGGGGTTCTCACAAAAGCCTGATCTTAATCACAGGTGTCTGAGGAATACACACTTGTACCCGACACTCTCTACCTTACAGTGTATCTCATAGACTGGTTCCTCCATGGAAACTACGTGGAAAGACAGAGACTTCAACTGCTCGGCATCACTTGCATGCTAATTGCCTCGTAGGTTCCTCTCCAATTTCACTACTAAATCTTGTCTTAGATGCGAAAAAACTAAACTTTCTTTTCTTTATCCTTAAAACTTTACAGGAAGTATGAGGAAATCTGTGCGCCACGCATTGAAGAGTTCTGCTTTATCACGGATAACACCTACACAAGAGCTCAGGTATACCGAGATTGCTGCCTAACACCTTTGTTAAAGAAAGTGTACAATGTACTAATGTTCGAATGAAAACATGATGCGCAGGTCCTGGAAATGGAGAACCAAGTACTTAAGCATTTTAGCTTTCAAATATACACTCCCACTCCAAAAACGTTCCTTAGGAGATTTATCAGAGCAGCGCAAGCCTCTCAACTGGTAATGCATTTTGCAATTAGCTCGCCTACTTGTACTTATTACAACATTTAGCAGAAAGATTGAAAATTTATCGGTATTTGATTGCTGTTTGCTGCAGAGTCCTAGTCTTGAAATTGACTTTCTAGCCAGCTATCTAACGGAATTGACATTAATAGACTACCATTTCTTGAAGTTTCTTCCTTCTGTCATCGCTGCTTCAGCTGTTTTTCTTGCCAAGTGGACATTGAACCAATCAGACCACCCATGGGTATGTAATGTTGCTTCTCTTTCTTTATCCATACACAATTTAGCTCCACAAATCTTGGATCTTTAACTTCTTTTAAATTTTCTTCTGCAGAATCCAACACTTGAGCATTACACAACGTACAAAGCATCAGATTTGAAAGCACCTGTTCATGCCTTGCAAGATTTGCAGCTCAACACCAAAGGTTGTCCCTTGAGCGCTATACGCATGAAGTATAGGCAAGAAAAAGTAAGTTTATAGAGTTGAACTAGACACTAAACCCGCTTTGGTATCGCTTGCATTCGTCTTTCATGATTCTCATAAGAATCTGTTTTGGATTTGCAGTTCAAATCAGTGGCAGTTCTCACATCTCCAAAACTACTTGACACGTTATTCTGAAGAGCTAAACCGGGCGGTTCAACTCCTAACCGATAGTAGATCTGTAACATTGATGGTCCGGTTCGTCAATTTTTCATCTGTTACTCTTTCTTTGTTCATAAAACAGTTCACATAGTTCCCTTCCACAGTCCCACTCATCTAATACCTGATTAAAA